TAGGTCAAGGAACCACTCCTACCAAACTCCTAGCAAGCTAAACCACCTAACTCTGGGAACAGCGTGTTTAATCGTTGCTTCTTCTTTAAAATAAATTGAATTCCAATCCACAAGTAGACTGACTCACAAGCTCGTGCATTATCTTCGTTGTATTCATGATGTCGACGTTGTCGAACCGCATTTCTATCACGAGTTTATTGAGGTAGGTTTCGAACTGCTCAGTTGTTAGGATGTCTTTCATCTGGAAAACATTTAGTAAAAGCCTTCATGTAGCAAGGTAGTTGTTATGGCAAACTACTATCATATCACTAATTTTATTTGCAAGGTAGCCTGCCATACTGAGAAAGTAGCTTTAAAGAGAGTTTAATTCGATCAAAAAATTTGTAATTAAACTGTACGGGGCAACATTTAAAACTATTAATTCATTAAATCTGAAGTTACAAAATATCTTTCTTACGTTTGAACTAGTTTGAACTAGTCAGTCTACTTGTGAATTGGAATTCAATTTATTTTAAACAAGAAGAAACGATTAAACACGCTGTTCCCAGAGTTAGGTGGTTTAGCCTGTTTGGGGTTTGGTAGGGGTAGTTANATAGATGGCAGCCTGCTTGGGGTTTGGTAGGGGTGGTTTCTTTACCTTCATTTGACCTATGGAAGTCGCGTTAACCTTATACTTTGATACATATCTGGATGTAAAATTTCCCGCTCTTTCTGAATCCGGCATTAAAAATAGAGAGTTCCATTTAAAAAAGTAACCTTGATCTTGAAATGACCTTGAAAACTGACCTCAAGGTCAAGGTCATTAGTACAGGTAGATGACCCCCACTGTCCTCGACAACTTTTATCCGAACATTTTTTTCGTAGGTTGCGTAGTTTCGGAGATATCTCCGTTTGTCGATTAAAATGGGTCACCGTATATATATATCTTTTACGACAAGCAGAAGTCGAGACAACGACGGTCAGTCAATCGTCCGTTCGTTCAAGTTTTCAAATCAATCAATCATTATCATCTTCATATATTATATTATCTACTGCCGCCGACGGGTGTTGTTTCTTCGGAATCGTTTCTTATATTTATATACTCTTACGATATATTATTCGCTTGTTCCACCGCACTTCCCAGTATTCTTCTATATCCTCTCGCACGTTCATTTAAACATGCTCATTTAAACATGCTTGCTTCCATGTTACATTCAAGACGCCGAGAATTTAGTTTCGGCATTTTTAGTCCCGCTTAGATGAGGGCGCTTTCCCATCGAAGTTCGACCGTCGCTCGAGCATTCCCTTCAGATTGTGGGAAAAATTGTTCAACATTTCTGAGATATATTTCAACGATTTTCTCATTGTGTACATTGAAAAGGCTAAATTCAAAATTCAAACTGATCCCGGGAGAAACCGCAGGTTTGCTCGCGTTGCCTGCACATTTGACGCTTTTGCATCTAATGCCCGTTGCACACCGATGAGCGATATCCAATGACAGCTCTTCTTTTTAGAAGCCGATGTACAATGGGCGTTAGGTGTAAAAGTGTCAAAAGTGCAAGCAACACGAACAGACCTCGTATCTACCGAGCATCATATTGCGATTCTGTCACTGTGGATCAAGTTTCAATTCACACTGTAATGGCGAATCGCACAAGGATGTCGGATCACATCCGGAAGAAGACGACGATCGGAATACCTTCCGTCGGGGGTGGAGGGGGACACATTTAAGGGTTAATGAAGGGGACCGATCTCCGCCACCGTCGACGCCACCGTCGAACTTCGTAATTTCATGGAACGCGAGCGAGACAGAAACGAAATTTATCGATAATAACGGCGCGAATGGCGGCGGCCGGAACGAAAGGACGGCGGAGCAGAAGAGGAACTGGACGGGGAAGCGGAGGGAAAGGGGTAAGTGGAAGGTTGAAGGCAGGGCGAGAGCGGTGGCTTCAGCTGACCTTTTTAAGCCGTGAAGGGGAGATTCGGTCTGCTCGACTGGCCCGTCTGTCCCACCCCTGCAGTCCCCGCGCCATCACGTAATGATCCGCAGCGGCGCTCAACTTCTTAAGGAACCCGCAATCGCCGCCAGGGACTCTCAATGGGAGAAGGCAGATAATTTTCACTGTTATTATTATTGGGCGATTCATTATTATTTTTATTGTCAGGTGATTTTCTTTACACATAGAATCCTGTAACGCGAATCATTTTCCTTTCCAGGTCAATTACAATATTTATATAATTGAACACATTCGTTATACTATACTTTAGCTAGTATTATTTATCATTAGACGTTAGATTTAGAAACATTTATGTATCTTTGGCGAATTATTCGTATTAATTAGTTTACCTTTGCACATGGAAGACCCGAATAATCTTCCTTTTAAATCAGTCGATATGTATGTAATTGTGAACATATTTATATACCAGCTTCGGTTATTTATTACGAGTTTCCCGAAACTCGATCCACTTCATTTCAGGGAACTGCGATAGTCGCAAATTGGAGGTTCCAAAATTCTACGAGGATTTATGCGCTCAAACGCTCGTCGGACTCCGTATTATTGGAAGTTCAAAGATCCGAGGGAGCCTACAGCTGGGTAGAAGCTAGGGCGGCGGAATTACGAGCGGCGATTTTTCGCGCCTGGTATGATGTATGTATAAAGTATAATATACGTGGAAGGGAGGGAGAGAAGAGGACGCTTCAGGGCTGGCCCAAGGGGCCTCATTCTCTCTCTGCGTCTCACGCGAGTAATGAAGGGTCTGCCGTTCACGTATCTCGGAGGTGTGACCCCGTACGGCCCTTTTATACCGCGCGATTTCATACTAAACTCGCCGGCATTGCGAACGACGTATTATCTAGAATGTAAAAGCCGACTGTGCACGTCGGATCTCGGCATGCTGCTACTTCCGACCGAGAGAACGGTCGCAATTCGACATCTAAAAAGACGACGATTCCAATTAAAAAAAAATTCCAAATTATCTTAAAACAACATAAATAAAAAAAAAACTAGTCACACGAGAAAGAGAGAGAGAGAGAGAAAGACATTATTATCATGTACATGAGATATGAATTACCAACACTGAAATTTACATTAATACTATTCATTGAAGATAACGTTCGTCTCGTTGAGACGAGACTATAGCATCAAATCTCGGAAATTTATCCGAGCATTCGCGGTGCAATCGGAAAATCTGGGAAACAGGATACCGTTGTGGCCGTCGACAGTTTCCAACGTTCATTTCCCATCAACTGGAAAAGCCTTCGTGGCTGTGAGATGGAAGAGTGAAACAGAGACAGAGAGGGAGCGAAGCGTAGGGGCGGAAGGGGGGAGGAGGCAATTCATTAAAACTGCCGAAGGCGGCGAACGATTGCTTATAGCCTGTACTTGAAGCCGCGCATTAAATCTACGTTATTACGGGTTATTACCGAGTAATGAGAGACCTCCTCGCGCCATTTACGTATCTTCTGGCCTGCCGATGCAATCCCGTTTCTCTCTGCCTGCTCTCCCGCTCCCCCCTCCCCCCTGAGTCCAAACCCCACCCTCGTTCCTCGCGACCCATCCCTCACGTGAATTTGACGCGCGATGGAACACCCAGTACGCGCGCGAGCGCGCAATTTAACCAAGGGAGTAATTTTTCATAAATTTGCTTCGTGGAAAGAGTGAGAAAGAGCGAGCGAGCGAGAGAGAGAGAGAGAGAGAGAGAGTATTGTATTTAAATCGACGTGCGGAGAAACGACAGGTGATCGAAGGGAATCGCGAAAGATAAATTTTCCGAGCGGTTTGCGCGTCGACAAGACGCGATTTAGAAACCATAATGGTAGAAACGGGCATTAGATTAATTATTGAAATTAATTTCTTGCAACCTAATTTTCTCTTTCTTTATTCATCTTCCTTCTCTCACTTCTTCACTCGCTTATTCCAAGTATCACCGTGAAAAGAAAGATGACAGATTTTGGATACATCGTCGAATTCAGTGTTCATATCTCGGGCTGTGTTTTGGGGAAGGCGTTCGTTTCGCGAGTGTTTCAGAAGATCGCTTTGGAGTTTTGCAAAAACGCCCGTCAATTAGAAGTTTGCGCGCTGCCGACGATTCGCCGCGTCGACGAGAGCACAGGGTGGCACTCGAGGTGGAAATAGCGAGCAAAAAGCAGAAATTCCCGCGTCCGGTGCTCCGGTTGGCCGCGCGGCACATGCGCGACTAATTACAATCCCCTTTGATGATTCGCCGCCGCCTTCTTAACTCCCTTCCCTCCCCGTCGCCACCGTGGCCGCCGTCGCTGCCGCGGTCGTTCCTTCGAGCTTCACCGACGATCGCGTCGGTCAACGGATGGGCTTTGGGCCCAGTGTTGGAAAAAAAGTGCGCTAACGAAGAACGATTTCGAATTCATGGATATCGCTGCTTCCATCCGAAAAAGTAGCGATTTATGACACAAAAGAAAGAAAAAGGTGAAGAAAATCGAGAATACGCAGCAGAACTTTTATATAATTTTTTACTCTATTTTACTTATTTTTCTTTTTATTTATTTTACATTGTTGGGAGTGGTGATGTACTTTGAACACTGGTTTCTGGTTTTCTATTTTTTACAAATTAAATAAAACATTTATTTGGTTACTTATAATTGATTGATTTTATTTGTGGCAACTCAAAATATATTTTTACCAAATACAAAGTACGTTTTTTCCACACGTTGACCTGCCGTTTCTTTTTTTAATATATAAGATCCTTAGGTCTTCAATAAATTCTGTAGTAATAAAGTATATCTACAGTGATAAGAAAAGAATAAAACGATGAAAGATAATGAGAACTAATGTAGGACACATCGCAACTTACATCATGCGCTGGCTTGCATTGTCTTTTCATTATTGTGTCGTTTCTTTCGATTTACGTAATCTATTCTTCCCCATCGCTATGGTACAATATCCGTGCGCGTGCACGTATAATTTTATTGTTATAATGACACGTTCAGGAAAGAAAGGAACTGATAGTCGGGCAATTTCGACGGACAATCCGAGCCAGTATGACGAAAGGTGAAGGTCCTCCCTCGGGGTCCAGCTGTCGAGGTTCTCGTAGCCGCGCTTGCTTGCGAGAGAATCGAATCGGGATTTTCGTGGAGCAGACGTAGAAAAAGTTCAAATTCCAGCGGCGGGGCTCGCGTTTGCTTTTTGCTAGCGCTTACGATTTCTCCTCGCCTCGCCTGACGAATCGTCTTCTCACGCTCGACAGCACGATCCGGGATGACGTTTAATTTAAAATCGCCCGCCGCCACGCTGTTTTTGTCCGTCATATCGGAGCGACGAAATTTCGAGACGCCGCGAGATCCGGGCGTTTTAAGGCCGCTTTATCGGATAGATGGATATCCGCGTCGTCAAATTCGATAGATCCGATATCTCAGCCGTTCCGAAACCCCAATTCTGCCGAAAATTCGAATCTACTCTCTGGACTTTTTCGAGCGAGAAATTCCGTCGAAAAACAGAGCGTGACAATCGAGTCACGTGAGACCGTATAATAACTTTTCACTCGTACGAATGAATTAGAATAAACTTAGAAAGTAGGACGAATTCTTCAACGCTGAATCGTCGAGTAAATATTTCCATTCGAAATGGAAGGGTGAATCTGATTCGCTCTCTCGCAGAGATAAATTCACCCCCGTTGGTTTTTCACTTTATTGAAAAAAATAATAATTTTCTACATAACTTTATTCAATTATCTAAGTAATAAATGTTAATTCTGAGCGCGAAATTGAGACAAATATATACGCAGTATTACACATGGAGTGTTAAAACGCACACTACAATCTTCGTTTAAAGATATCGTTCTTTCTATTCAATATTGTTTTCTTCTCAATTCATGAAAATTACTTTTGAGTAACAAGAATATGATATTTTTCGTGGAACTATATGGAATTTTCCCATGTAAGCAGGTTTTATTTTCATATACGATTATATAACCTTGCTCGAATATATGAAAATATGAGTCTCGAATTGGTACTAATTGTTTCCCCCCGTGTACCAACAAATTATCGACGGTTTCTTGTTTGAGCAACGGCGATTCGCATTATCGTTACAGTGGGCAGTAAAACACGAGAGGGATATTAGATACTAGACGGAGCCGTCGAAGAAGAGAGAAGGGACGCGCGCGCGCGCGACGTACAAAACGCATAATTAGCACTTTTGCGTGCGAGGGGAAAATAAGATGACAAGGACGGGCCCCGTCAAAGGAAACCGGGGCCCAACCTGTCTCATTGTAGGTTTCTTTATTCTATGTTTCGCGGGGCCTCCGCGCCGAGATACCCAACGTCGTCCTTCAATGGGCGTAACAGACCGCGTCGACTTGGCCGAAAAAGGTCCAAAAGGACTGGTCGTGTGGAAAGCCCGAAATCGTGTTAACACGCGTTATGGCGGGCCTATAACGACTCGTCGACTCGCCGCCGTCCGGAATTCACCCCGCGCTTTCCGAATGAAATACCGGGTCCTGTTTGTGGTCCGATCAAAGCCGCGTTTCTCAGACCCGCCTGGTAACAACACAGCGAAAAAACTTTACGTTCCAGCTGATTACGAATATTCCGATTGCGCTCGAGCGCAATTTTTTCCCCCATTTATTAACGGGTAAAAACCCTTTGGTATTCGGTCGTAAAGGACGTAAAAGTCTACGCGGCGTGATGCAAACGTTGAGTTACAATTTAAAGTCGCGATTCAGTGCAAGTAAGATAAGAGGGGTCGAATTAAATTAACCTTAAAAGAGCGCAAAGAATTGTGAGACAGGCCAACGAACTTCGAGTACTGGTTGGGCAATATACAAATTAATACAGTTGTATTTGTCGTACTCCGTACGATGAAACTCCACGTGAAAGAGGAGGAGCGCGACATTGTAGATTTGAGAATTTCCGGGCATACGATGTAATGGTTGAGTACATTAAAAATAAAGAGTAAGTCGGCAAAAATTCGTCTCTTTTCTAATGTTCGAAATTTTGTGTCGCAGTAATTCCGGTCGCAGTTTTGCGCACACGGAAATTCCAACGTCGCGAAATCGTCAATTTTTTAATCTACTGGAGAAAGATATATTGTGTGTGAATTAATTTATTATTCACTCACGGTAATACCAAAAAAGTATTATTCTTCTCTTTTCAGAAAGAATTTCGGGAGATTCCAGAGATCCAACGAGACCTCCAACTCGTCGACTCCAAATTCCAAAGTTTACCATCTCGATCTCGCTACGGAAGGAATTTCCTCGATGTTCGCAGATAGGAGGAGAAATGTCGCCTCAGAAAATTATGTTATATCGTTTGCGAATTAATTGATTTATCGCGTCAAACAAAAGAGGCTTGTAAAAAATATCGAAGAAATCGTACTCATAGAGCTCTTTGCAGAGGTCTTTTTTGAAAGCCACCCCGAGGATCCATTACGTATTTATACGCGGAGTTTCAAGGACTCGCCGAAAGGAGGTACATGGGGAAGAGGGGAGGGGGTGGGGGTTGTGAAAACCTACTTGGTATTGGGTCTCGTTCACCCCGGAACGAGAACACGACGGATGCCAGACGCCGCTATTGTGTCAGCGTAATGGAATTCATACAAAAGAGTTGTTGTCGACGAAACGCGGTGAACGAAGAGTTCATGGAGCAGGAAGAGGGGAACGAAGGGCTTGAGAGGGTTGAAATCCGATCCAAGAACCATCTGGGCAATCACAATTTCGTCGTGCGTGCGCACAGCCGAAAAATCGAGACTTCGGGCCTTCGATCCTATGCATTGTAAAAAAATTGGGAGGAGAAATAAAGAAACGAAATTGATCGATTCCGCTCGTGTTGCTTGCGCTTTAGAAACGGTACTGTCCGACATTCTGTGGTACGCATGTCACAAATTTTCGACGAAAATCGCGAAGTCACAAATTTTCAAATTTGCGAGAGCAAAATATATATTGCACGTAGATTATTTTTTATTTATCAATACTAACAAATTCTTGTTTTTTCTCTCATGAAAAATTCTTGAGAGATTCCAAAGGCCCAACGAGACTCGTCGACTCCAAATTCCAAAGATTACAAGCTCGACCTTATTACGAAGGAATTTTCCCAAACAACAGAGGAAGATAGACAAGAGTCAGATGCTGTTATTGGAGCCGAATAAAATTTAATAAAAGTGTTTACATAAATAAGTAAAAAAATTAATGTTTCGGTCCTTATTATTTGGGTTCTTTTCAACGTTCCTTTCAAACGTAACTGACAATGTTTAAAAACAAAAGTGTCGTAACGTTTATTGACCGCAAATAATAATATCTTTCTTTTTTTTATCGGACGTTAATGAGAGAAAATTGCAGAATAATCTAAAAATATTGAAGACGCTATGTTGAGATTGACTAAAGACGCAGCATCAACTATATAACTGATTTCATTATTTCTTAACGCAGCAGAAGTCGTCGAAGAACCCAATAAGCAAGAGATCACTAACATAACGTTATAATATTTTATAACATGTAACGTTTCTAAATATCTATCTAGATAAACATATCTCGATATATTGTCTGAATTATGATTAGTATAAATACGTTAAGATGTGTCCTCATACAAGAAGCATTTCGTTAGTATATAAAAGATCATTTAATGCCGTCAAAATTGCTGCAATATTGCGGCGATATTCTGATATAAATATTGCTGCTTATTTTGCCCGAAAAGGAACGGAAATAACCCGACATTCTTGTAGCAATGAGAAATCAATACTTTGATTAAAATCGTTTTAAAGCTCACCTTGAACCATGTTTTATACCAGACAGAAAAGATTTCAAGCGGTCCACGAACAGCAGAATAAACAAAGCTGATCACGTTGCGTAGTTCACCCTGTGTATACATATACATACACACATATCAGTTACATGAAGAAAAATTCTCGACGCGCGCAGGCGAGAGAGCGACAGGTTGTCGTTCGCGTTTCCAAGAAAGTGACGGGAACACATCGAGGCGAGGTAGCGGCGCGCAGCATCCGGCGCTCCCTTTGTTCCTAATTACGCCTGCGGGATCAGTCCCATGATCCCTCAGCGGTCGGCCCGAAATAATAGGGCCCGCCGCGGCGGCGACGTAGCGGCGCGGCGGCAAAAAGCGGAGGAAGGTGCGCTGACGCGCGCGCGCACTAGATCGAGCGGAGCGCCGAGCTCTCGCCAGTCGGCCGTCGACCATCGGCGCGCGCGAACATCTCGAGGGAGGAGGTTCGAATCCCCTTGTATCGCCGCGCGAGTGTTGATCCGCGAGAGTGGCCGGACGGGGATCGTCGTATGCACGCGTTGTCATTGTTATGCGCGCGCACCATGCGGAGTAAAATGTGAATGAGGACCGAGGACGACGATGATGCTGCGCGAGCTGATCGTACTGGCGGTGGCGGCGTGCCTGGTCCAAGGATGGAACGTCAAGCCGGAGAGTCAGAAGACCGAGGCCAAGTGCGAACGGCTGAGCGTGTCCTTCTGCAGGGGGCTGCGCTACAACTTGACAGCGATGCCGAATTTCATGGGCCACGCGGATCAAGGGCAGGCTGAACGAGGGGTGAGACTTCTTCTTCCTTAGTTTAGCCTTTTTCCCAGCGAGAGACACGAGTCTATCGTCTGTTATCCTTTTCTTTACCTAGTGCGAAATAAGCGACCTGTTCGAGAAATGCACGCGTACTGAAACACGAGAGTGCTTGCGTTCAGAAAACACAACGGTTGATTCATTCGTCGACGTAATTGGTCGAAATTCCGGGCTCTGACGGTAAAGACCGATAATCACTGGTCGTTCATTGATTCTTTTGTATTTTCGGCGCGCAGCCAATCTCGTAGGTGCGCTTCACACGCTTCGATGTGTGTAGTAAATTTCTTGAAGCGGTGCAGCCAGTTCAGCTGAAAGGAACAGAGCGAAGGACAAATGATGATGTAACTAGATTTGTGTCAACTTGGGTCTTGCTAAGGTTGCTAGAAAGCAACCTTAAAATACCGAACCATCTTGCCTTTGGGCGGAGGTCTGGCGCTTTACGGCGCTTTTTACGACGGTCTCACCACTGTGTCTATTTATCGTACGTACGCGTGAGGCTGTTTCGAGAAATCGTATTCTACGGGGGAAGGGAACAGACGATTCCACGTCGTGTTTATAGAGGAGAAGCAGGCATCGTTTGCCGGCAATTGACAGCCGACACTTGGCGTGTGTCGTTTGGAGCACGAGTTTAAGTGACGAATGACGGTTACTGTCGCACTTTTTGGAGAGACCGACGCCCCGTGTTACCTTAGACGCGTAGCGAACGCGTAACTATGCACGCTTTTCTGATTCTCCCAAGTTGAAACGATGTAACGTTCGTGTCGAAAACACGGAACTCGGAAACTACTTAGACGTATTTAGCGTTCGTCGGGCGTCCAGGATAAGGGCGATTGCCGTAACCGTAAGACAAATTTTGATCGAAGAACCAATCAGGATATTCCTTTAGATTTGTGTATTCTAGAAGAAGAAACTTCGGTAAATCCGATCGTAAGCAGAACTCGACTGATTAAAACCCCAGTTATTTGGTTTGAATCTTAATTATACGTTCGCTTCTATTTCTTTTTCCGGAGTACACGAAGCCTAAAGCCATATCCCGATTGGTCCTTTAGCTGAAGTTTACGCCTCATGTTTGCAGTCACGGTAATTCGCGTGTGAAAGCCCTAAGGGCTCGGTTTTACGTCACGAGTCGGCTTCTCACGAAGAGCGTTGTGTTGATAATATTTCAAATTTGGTCAACGTCAAAGTGGTGGCTGCATTTCGAGGGTTTCGATTAACAATCAGCAGCCACCGTGGAATTCCTTCAACTTCACCGAACGTATCACGTGCGACACAAGTGAATAACTGTCATCCGGGAATCGCCGATATACCTGTGGATTTTATCCCCCGCTGCAAACAGCTGCGACGGTATATCGGTATCGCGCTTAAAAGTTAAGTCGTTTATGGCGTTTATCGTACGGACATTCACGGAGAGGCGCGTCCCTTATCTCTCGAGCGAGTCGTAATTGGGAACAGGGGATCTAACAATGAAATCAAACGCATGCTGTGCAACCTTAGAATAATCCTCGGCAGCGGAGGGACCGGTGCGAGGCAATGTGTGGCGGGAGGGAGGGAAGGGGGGAGTATTTCACGGCGCATCGAGCGTTAATAAGCGATCGGAGATCAAAGAACGCGCGACCGGCTCTCATTAGCAGCGATAAGGCGAATCAAAGTCGCTGAACCGCGACGTTACGGAAGAACGGCGGGACGGGGGCCGGTGGGGAAGGGGTGGAGTGGAGCGAAGAGATAATACCGGTCTCTTTTCTTCTCTCCGGGCGGGAAGAGAGAGAGAGAGAGAGAGAGAGAGAGATATATATGTATATATACACGGTGTTCTCCGCGGGAGACGTAATTAGAAGCCAACTTCTCGTCCCTCCGCGAATCGTCGGATCCATCGATCGCTCGACTTCCGCTTAGAATCCGCGTGCGTCCGCGGAATGCCACCGCGGCTAATTAGCGGCAAAATGGCCGACTTGCTAATGGTCAGCGTCGGGGAAACGGTCGGCAACGCGCTTCTCTTTTCATAGCTGACTCTAAAAATTGCGGGTTCTTGACTCCATTTTTCTGCAATCCCATTGACAGTCGGGCGAAGTTAGCGAACTCTTTTTTTTTTAACGTTTCCCAGATATGGGAAATAAAATACAGAGGGAAAATCGATTGAAATATCGCGGAAAGAAATTTTATTTTAATGTTAAAAATTTGAGACTGAGTCTTTCATTAAAGAATCTAATGTTGAGAATTTAATGTTACATTTTTAATGTTTAAATTTAATGCTACATTCCAATGATATAATAATTGTTCGGCTCGGCGAGTAGATTAATTTTCGTGTTAAAAATGGAAGAAGGGGAAACGCGAGGGAGTTTCCGTCCTAAAAACAGCATAAGTAAGTTTCCTCTTCGGCACGATTTTAGATAAGTGGTGTTAGCACGGAGACACCGTAGGAAACTCGTGAGACGACGAGAGGGGACCGCGCTCTCGCACGCGTTACGCGTCCCTCGCACACGCACCCTCACACAGGCGTACCTGCGCACACGCACACACACATGCGCGCATGACGCAGAGAAAGAGAGGTATTTATAGCCAACGGTTCACTCTCGCTCGCTCAGTTTTATTATCGTAATAACGTTAAGGCGGCTTCCTTTGAAGCCGCCCGAAGCGAGATAGCCCTGACGAGCAAAACCGCGTATTTTTGTAGCAGCTGCGTTCCCCCGTGAGCACATGAATGTGTGCGTGTGCGCGCACATGCATCCGCATGTGTGTAGGTGCGCACAGAGGTGCATGCATGCGCCTGTATGGAAACATCGTCGGCGGATGCATTTGATATTCGCTTTTCACGCGATGAGCCCACTCGAAGCCGGGAATGACGATGATGTGGAATCGTGCGCGGAGGGAACTTGAAATTCTTAGACTAGACGCGGATTACAGGGAAGCGGGGATATGTGGACAAATCGGAAAAAGATATAACGAAATCGACAATAGCTGAATTAAATTGATTGCGGCCTAGATCGTTTTTTCCTTTAGACCGATCCGTAGAAATTTGTTCTCCTTGTTACTGTATCACATAGTTTGTATTGACTTCAATATTTCCCATTTCAAAAATATTGAAAATATTGCAGTATAACATCGGAAATGTTACAAATATTTACGATATTATATTTTAAGATTATCTTCAATCAAAATGTATCAAAATATTCTTATTTCAAAATGTTATTATTTCCATGTTTAATCAATGCAATAATACGTTTGCAGTAATTTATTAGTATCGAGTATATTATTAATAAATTAACAAACATTGATTAACAACAAGATTCACTGATATAAATAAAATTAAACGATAATTGACGGAACCTCGAGCGTTAATTTCATCTCAACGGGAATGTTCATCTTTTTTTTAACTTTACTTCAACGAGATACACTGAGAACAATGCCCGATCATATCTGATTGGATAATCCAAGTAAAAAATAACAAACGGGTATATCGTATCGAATGCAATATCCGATTATTTCGTCATTCCATCCGATCTTGTTCTGCCTTTATCCGATGAAAGTTACAACGTATATACAAACGACTAATTTTCCGATTAGCTTTTGTTAGTAATTGCATCGGTAATTTCACTGGATAAAATCCATTAGAAATTCACAGTTTCGAAACTTGGGAGAGAGAGAACGTGTGTCCTCGCATCGCAACGCAGTAATACAGTTACGCAATTAATCGAGTAGTAACGTAACCGTAATCTTGCAGAGCGCGGCGCTGCCTATATAAACGTGATCAAACATTCGTATGCGATCGAACGAGAATCGTAATGATCAAACATGACGTTTTACTGTATTAATCTTAAGTGCAAGCGTGCGACCGTAATTATACAACACGGTCGTAGTGCCGGGCGCTTAAATCATCATTCGGTTTGCCTTCATAATTGAACGCATCTGTAATTTAATACGGACGCTCTTTGCCGCGGCTGCAATTACACGCGATTGCAGTTTAATGCCTTTATGACTTAATGCGAGCATAATACGGCGCGACGCAGGTATGATTTCATACACCTTGCAATTACTCGCGATTATGATCGGTGAGTCGCGATCTTTCGTTTGAGGCGCGCACGCCGAGGGAAAGAAGCCGCACGAACGAACGATACCTGCGCGAGAATGGATCTTTTATTGCGGAAAATGAAACGAAAGCACGGCACATTGAAACCCTCCGGGCTACGAATGATTTCCGTATTTTCTTCGTTTGAGGCGCGCCGAATGGAGAAAAGCCGCTCGAACGAACGATACTTGCTCGAGAACGAGTCGATTATTACGGAAAATGAAACGAAAACACGGTGCGTTAAACCTTCGGGCCCTTCGAGCTGTTCCCGACTTTTCTTCGTTTGATGCGCGCCGAGGGAAAGAAACCGCTCGAACGAACGATACCTGCTCGAGGATGGATCAGTCGTTGCGGAAAATGAAACGAAAACAAGTATGTTAACCTTTTGGGTGTGACATTTTTATAATTAGGAAGTTTTCTAGAAATTTGGACATTTTTAATGTTGCATTCGTATCAGTTTCAATTAAATTTTTATCGCGTTGAACGTCTTGTCGTGGAAGATTCGTCGGTAGTTTTTTTTTCGATCCCAATTTCGGCAAGGCAAAGTCTAAAAATCTGTTTTGAAAGATCCGTAAGTTTCACGATAATTTATTGATCTCACCGTTCCACGGTAATTTATTTATTTATTCCTGCAATTAATTTACCGATTAATTCGTTTACGGGAATCATTCCTCTGGTACGAAACGTTTAATATAATCGGAATAAGAAAGGAAGAGAAGAAGCAATTTAAGAATCGTGTCGTGCTAATCATGCGGGCGTCTTTGAACACGCCGGTTTCTCCTCTCTCCGTCGTCGTCGTCGTCGTCGTTACGATCGATCCCGCAGAATTTTTTCTCGTATTATCATTTCCGTTGAGCGTATTGAGGTAACGTTTGTCTCATAAATGGTATGACGAGGCTCTCGAGATAACGCG